TAAATAAATAAATAAATAAATTAAAAGGAAAGTTCTAATATGACATGGGTATTAAATCCCCTATGATAGCCTTTTAGGAAAAATATGCTAAAATCACTTTATTGAATAACATTTTATGAAAATTATCCTTTTAGGTGTTTACTCTTTCTTTTTTGTGAGTTATACTGGAAAATCCATAAAGATTTCAGGATTTCTGAGACAAAATGTTGGCATCATCTTTAAATATGCAATGATGGGATTTGGAGATATTCAAGATACTTGACAAAATAATCCAAAGTAATAATATCAAGAAGGTAGGGTCAGAATGTGACTGTACTAAGCAACAGGCTAATTAAATCATATTCAATGTAAATAAAAGACTTTGTGAACACAGTGGTAAATGGTGGAAACATAAATAGGAAAGGCATAAGAACAAATGTAGGCAAAGCCTGCCTGAGCACTTTTCAGATGTGAATACATTTTGGCTAAGTAGATTTGAATAGTATGTCTTAACTGGCAAGGAGATTACCTTAACCTACCTTTGTTTCTAAGGACTACTTAAGATATGATCAGAAGTTCCCGTGTTATAGTCCAAGCTTGGTAAACATCCTTCAGGGAAGCTGGCTTCCCACATAACTCTTCTTTAGTACAGAGCGCACTGGATGGGCCAAGTGAAACTTTCTAGTTATGTTCCTTGCTGTAATTAATGAGTTTGCTTTCCAATATATATACTTATATTTACATACACACATACATAAAACCAAGTTGACACCTGCACCTCTATTCTCCAGAGTACAGCTGCTCTATAAGAAGATATACCAGACCTTTAAACTTAAGAGAATGAGGACTGAGATCCCAGCCTGGACCATGTCAGATGCTGCAGTGCAGGGACCAGTCTGAGTAGCAAACTAGGCTTCCCAGAAATTACCTATTCTGTCTTAGTGCGTGCTGTTGAAAAACTGAAAAATGCAACTATTCTGAAGCTTTGAAACAGAAATAGATCCATGAAACACTTGGCCCTATTTTATTTCGACCTGTTATGTGCTCAGAATACCAAATCCTCATGGTTAGGGTTATTTGGTTGAAATTCTCTTTTGTGTTAATGTGGGAGTATAGCTCTGAGATTCTTCCGTATGCAAAATGAAATCCTAAAGAAGGTTTGGAGACCATATTTTATTGCCTTGGGCCACATAATCCAAATTCTAAAATTAAGCATCACAGGGAAAAAAATAAAAAAACATTTATATTTGTCACTATGCAGTCAAACAAAACACATGTAACAAAAAGAATTTTTTAATTGAACTCTCTAAATGATAGGATATGGAAACAAAAAGTAAATTTCTTCCCCAAAGAAAAGCTTATAAAAATTCTTCCTCATATACCTATATATAATATAGTAGGCCACAAAGATACATAACCTTATCAAAATGATACCAGTATTGTTTATCAAAGACTAGGTTCCTTATTATACTGGTTGTTACAGATTATATTATCATGGCAATCTGCTGTTTTTATTTATCTTTTGTGTATGATTTAAAAAACCAGTTTTCTATCTTTTTACTATTTTCTTCGGGGTTTAAAAAATTCCAGTATTTCTTTATTAATCTTAGTTTTAAAATTTTTCTCTATTTTTTCTTGTAAAGATCTCTTAAGGAACTATATTTAAGAGTATACGTAATCGGGGCCAGGGATTTAGCTCAGTGGTTTCGCCACCTGCTGCACAAGCGCAAGGACCCGAGTTTGATCCCCGGTACCAAAAAAAAAAAAAAAGAGTATACATAATCCTTACAGGTTAGAGCTCCAGTTGGGATGTACCTTTTAAAATTAATTTCTCTGTCTCTCTCTCTCTCCCCCTCTTTCCTTCCCTCGCCTTTTCTTTCTTCCTCTCTCTGCTCTGCCATACCACCCTGAATGTGCCCAATCTCATCTCTCTCTTTCTGTATCTCATACCTATATAAACATACCCATAAAATAGTTATGATAAATTTCCTTATTGTATGTTAGGCCAGTTTTGTAATTAAAGTGCCTAAATTTGAATACCGATTCCTTTTATTCATTCATCAGTGTTTACTTCCAGAGGATAGAGACAGATTGATTCACATTATAGTTCCTTTTTTATTACTTATTGGTGAAAGACAAGACAAAGTATTACAAATATTTATTAAAATATTTTGCTCTCTAGCATCCTTTTAAGTTTTAAAAAAAATATGTAAAAAATCTAACTTCATTCCAAGCCCCCCATAAAACCCTGTTATTTAAGTTTTACTTAGATTTTTTTCCTAGTAGCTAGTTATCATATATTGCTCATTATGTTGATATTATTATCAATCTATCATTTTGATATTATTACTAATTATCTGTGCTACATTTAAAATCCTGAAGGCAGACCTCTTTTCAAATACAAAGTCTCAAGAACAGAAGAAAAGTTTGGAAATGAAGAATGAAAACTGCTCCCTCCCGAAGTGTGTGGCTGTCACATATTCTTTATTCCAAGAAAAGAAGATGTCTTTGGTAAGTATTCTTTCAAGTTACAGAGAATTTTTTAGTTTATTTAAACTTGTGTTTTGTCACCTTTTCAATATTAAAGCTGTGACTTGGGATCAGTTTTCTTTTAACTTGCAAAAAGTTTCATTTTATCTTTATTTTTGAAACAGAATGTCATTTTCTTTTTCTGTTAAGCCTATCTCTGTCAGTTAAGTAACAGCAGCAATAATAGCTTTACCATAATTTTTATACAGAGGTTGTATCAGAGTTACAGATAAATAATTTATAACTCAGAGATCCTGCAGCAGCATTATTTAAAACCTTTTTTAAAAAATGAGATTAGTATTTAACAGTACATTTATATATACTGTTTCAAAACAATCTCCTGGTGCTGGGATGTAGCTTAGTGGTAGAGTGCTTGGCTAGCATGTGTGAGGTCCTAGGTTCCACCCAGCACTCCCCAAAACAAACAGACCATAAACAATCTTCAAGAGCATGAAGCGAGAATGACCCCTTGCACTGACCAAAACTGCATGCTGCCTCTGAGGCCTCCATGCCCAAGAGAAAGACTGAAAAGAATCCCAAAGGAGATAAAGCCCAGGTGAAGGATGAGCCACAGAGAAGACCCACAATGCTGTTTGCTAAACCTGCTCCTTCAAAGGCAGAGGCCAGAACAAGAAACTAGAGTCATTTATAGCTAAATGGATGCATATTGAGGCCATACTCTTAAGTGAAATTAATAGGACACACATGTGTAAATGCCAAATAGTTTCTCTAATGTGAGAAACTGAAAGTGTAAATAAGGATGAAAATGATTAAAACGAATAATTGATAATTTGAAATAGGAAAAGGTCCAAAGGGGTAGGGGTGGCGGGAGGGGAAGGGGAA